GCCGTAAGAGGACTCGCCCTGCGAAAACATGCCCTTGCTAAACGTGGGTTAATTAGAGAGTGATTATTTCGAAGTAGTCACCCGGTTCGTTAGCGCGACGTTGTTCGGGGTTTTCCTTCAGAAGCATGTAAATTAAAAGCAAATTAATGTTTCGGTAGAAATTGAAATCTCCCTTTGAGGGTCGCCCGAGGTTCGTAGAAGTCATCAAAATCGAGCTGTATGTCGTTTGCAAGGGTTGCACACGTGGTCGTTTACCGTCATGAATAGTGGATCTCCATTTCAACAAACGAAAGCGCCTCAAAGCATCTCTTAAATCATCTCTGACCAACCTCACCGTCTTCCCAGAATTCCTCCTACCTATTATATTGTGTAATTCCTTTATTCAATTTCGTTCATTTATGCAATTAATTTACATTTTAAATATACCAGGATCATTAGATATTTGCTCGTCGACTCAATTGTCTCTTTACAATGGTGTGTTGTCCAAGGACCAACCGACATTTCTTCTTTCAGTAATTTTATTTTAATATTTATTATTATAGAAACTATTCTCAATGCTGCATACGTTTTCGTTATAATACTCCCAATTTCTGAGTCTTTAATTTAAAACTCTCCATCAAACAGTGTCCTCTGTAAATCTTCTTTTTTTCAATCTCGTATAGATAGAACCTGACAGAATTTGTTAAAAAATAGAGACGAGATAATGGCTCTTTCAAATCGTGAAAAATGTCTCTAAATAGTTGCAGATACTCCAGAAAATAACAAAAATTTATTTCCATGCCAGCTCTGTTCCATCTGCACCTCTTATTATTTCCCCATTGTTAGGTCTAACGATAATTGTCGCGAGAATGGTCCCTTCGGTATTAACCTGGCTCAAGATTTAATTGCGCGATTCATTAATTCCTGACAGGATCACAGGCAGGTGTTGCTCGGTTCTACACGTTCCGAATATTGTACACCTCCACGAGAGGCTGCAGTCGCATCTCTCGAGGGCGCCGTTATTTCGACGAGCATTTCTCGTTTAGCACGTAGCCGCTCGCCACGTTTCGTCCCGATTGCGGCCGGCAAAACTGACAAAAATTACTCGCGAAAGAGGGCGAGAGCGTCGGACGTCGGAAGAGAATGGAAACGCGCATGCAATTTCATGGTGAATTAAAAAACCCAGCGACGGACACGGAGGGAAACCGCTATCGTGAGAATCGTGACGTCAGCGACGAAAAACCTGTTATATAGACCGGTTAGGAAACATCTTCCAATTTTACTTCGAGATTTTTATAAAATGCAATGAGTATTTAGAGAAATCTTAAATTAAAAATAGAAGATGTTTTCTGGTTCGAATCTCCAGAAATTAGGAAAATGGTTAAACCTGAAAAGGAATAATAGTATCGCAGTAATAAAGTGCATGTTTCATGGTCCACGTGTTCGTTTTATCATAGATTTTCCTTTCTGATATTCGATAGCCTTTTAGTATCGGTTTCGTAGAGTAATATTTTCAGTTTTTGCTGAAATTTACTCCGTACGTCAAATTTGAAAAAAAAAGCGACTGAACTTTAAATTATACTGTCAAGATGAATTTAATTCCAGGTGTTTCGATCACCTGTCCACGTACACACATAGAATCTGGATTGAATCCGTGATATATTACGAATGTATAAATATATATACCGCAAGGAGTCAAATAAATTAAAAGAGAACAAAGTAAACCTTAAATTAAAATTAGATTTTAATCGCGGGTTTGTTGACCACCTGTCCACGTACATACGTAGACTCTGTGTTGTGTCCAAAGGAAGGAATTAGTACGGAAAAAAGAGGAGATGGGGTAATGGACACGGGGAAAGCTCTCGGTAAACCACCTAATCCGGTCGGATAATTGAACCGCGTTACGAATTTATTTCCCGTGAAAGGCAGAGGGCCAGATAGCGCGTACACTTCCGACGCATCAGTCTCGATTGTCGGATCAGAATTTATTCTTATCGGAGGACGAATGGCTCCGATATAAACTGTTTCCGTCCCGTTGCCGATAACGAACGGCCCGTCATTGTTTAAATTCGAATTGTAAATTCGCGTCAGGGCGAATGACGTTTGTCTTTGGTAGGTCGTGAATTTATATCGCTTTGGCGCGTTATCTGGCGCAGTTTCTAGCGTCGGACGCATTAGCCGCCGATATAAAACCAAACGGAACAAACGACGAGAAACGGTGACAGTTATCTTTTTCCCAGAGACCACTCGAAAACAAAACGAACGACACACCGAAACGTAAAACAACAAAAAATAAAAAAAAAAGTAGGGGAACAAGCGGGAAGGACACGGGTTGTAGTAACTCTAAATTTTCGCTCGAACCGCGGTCATGGAAACGAATGGGTCGCGCACAACGAGAGAGCGGACATAAATTAGGGAAATGAAACGTGTCGGTTCTAAGTGCGCTAATTTGCGGGTAAGTCGTTTTTACGCGCTCAATTTTTGTCATGCTGCTCGTTAATGGCCACTTTTAAATTAGATGCTCCCTTGAAGCCTGTTTTTCCATTCACTGGCTTTGGGAGAAGGGTGACCGAAAATTGTCTGTTCTCGGTGGAATCTAAATGACGTTAATCAATTGGGTAAAGAAGATTTATTGTAAAATTCAATGTTTCGTGAAATTATCTTTCAAAAATTTATTTTATCAAACAAAGTAGCTACAAGAGATCGTTTTCTTGTAATAAACTGTATTACTTAATGTCCACCAACAATCGGCCCATGGAAGATTAAAATAAATTGAATTCATCCGACTACTGCTTAACGAATATCAATTAATAAATAGAAAATTTATGTTCTGCATTTGTTAATTGAAAAATAATCCACGTTATATCGACTGTAGCTTTGAAACCGAGGTTCGTTCAGCTGGAAGCGCCGTAAAAAGTGATTTTCGCTTTGGCAAACTTTTTCAAGATCCGCCGCCGATTCGTCGAGGAATTACGGTTTCGCGGGACGGGATTTGCTGAATGCTGCGCCGTTCGAGACGAAGTAATTAAAGTTTGCTTCATTTCAGCGAGCCGAGCGGGAATGAAGCCACGCTCGGGGCGCGAGAGAAAAATTAATTAGCTGTTCTTTCCGACCGAATCGTCCCGGTAAATAGAAGAACGGAACCGGCTCTGTTCTGTATGGACAAATCAATCGTCATCTCGCCGCTTTAAAAAAGCAAAAAGATGCGAAAGAGAATGGGGAAAGAACTCGTTGAAACCCTCGAGGCGGGGAGACGTCAAGTGGCTGTCTCGTTTGCCCAGTTGCATCGACACTCAAAATAAAGTGACGAAAAAACAAATGACGCTTACCGAGAGTGAAATGGCAATCGATACGGGGCCAATCCACCGGTCGCTGAACGAGGATTTTTTTCGAACTGCGCGAACGAAGTTATGCCCGTGTCGATTGATAAAGCGGGTCCGTTCGCCGAGTTTAAAAACCTCCCAGCCAGCGGAGCGAGCGATCCGTTTAATTCTCCGAGCGGATATTTCAAGTTGCCGAAGTCTACTGCGAGTTCGAAAGAGCGAACAATTCGCTCAACGTTTCCTATGGTTGCACGAATATGCCGATGAAGGCAATGATTAAATTAGGTCGTCAAACATCTCGGTTGCAACTCGTTTCTACGATCCGTGCCGTCCACGATCGTTCTGGGCAACGTTTCATTTCCATCGGCTGGTTGGCCAGCTTTTTCGACGTTTACTTTACACTTCAATTACGTTGCACGGAGTCTTCGTTCCCTCGAGCATTCGCTCCAACTTCTCTGCCTCGCGATATCGATGGAATAATTACGTATCAATGAAGGAAAGCGGTATATTTGATATAAAGATTGTATCGTAGATGGTAGTAATTGTACTCTTTTTATGTTCCGAAATGAACAGCGTAATTTAGATCTTTGGAACAGGTGCGGGCATTTAGTGAAGAGCTTCAAGGGGGAAAGCTAAAATATTTAACAAAATTGGTTTTATACTATTTTATGTGATATTTGTTATGCTATTTTAGTTTAGAAATCTAGATAGAAATTATTTTTGTATTCAATGTAGGTGTAATAAACTTCAGCAAGCAGATTTTCCATTGAGTCCACTGTTTTCTTAAAAAAGAAATTGTTGAATACAGCTACGGTTACAATTTTTTATACTACAAGCTGGTATAATAATGTTCATGGTGAATTAAATCTCGTTAATGTCAACGGATACACGTACTTGTTGGGAAGATGTATATTGTGTTGTTTACTTTATTACATCATCATCCCTCGACCGTGTAATGTATCCAGTTTACCATTTTCCAGAAATAATAAACAACATTCACGATGACGTAACCACGCAAGTCAGAAACTATCCTTCTGTAAACTTCCTGTATCGATCGTTTTCTTATTTATTTTTCCATGTGTGTTATAATCAAATTAACTAAATTTACGAGGATATGTCAGAACGAATCTGGAATAATATTTTTTTTGAATATTTTTATCATCACGTATCTCCTCCAATTTTTTGTATAAATGAAGCGCAATTATATCTACATCGTACATTTTATTGATGAGATTTGGTGAAATCGTTCGAAAGTTCCAAATTATTTTCGAATTAATTAACTTTCATTCTACATAAAAATGTTTAAGTATCGTACACTGCTATGTGGCATGTCAAATGAGATTTGTAGAAATATATTTATATGAAAGAAAAAATGAATGTCACCTGCATAGGGGCAAATTATCCTTCTCATGTCTCTTAAATTTCTCAATGTTATAAAAATACAAAACTTAAATACTGGCGAAATAATTTTCGTTTTAAGAACAATAAATAAAATTCTCAGTCAATTTCATCCTGATCACGCCACATGCACTCCCAATGGCGGTTCGTTAAAATTCCCTTTTAGTTGGGTAAATGTTTCTCTATCGAGTGCCCCTCCTATCTGGGAAGTTTTAATTAGCCATTACTTGGCGAAAGTTCCAGCGTTAAATGAGCCGAGGGTAAGCAAGCGAAAGTTGAGAAAAGATATTGTCGTCTTACCTGAGGTTCCTCGACCGCCTTACGGCGGTCCCTTCCGGTGGGGGGCCCTCTCTATGGGGCCCCAAGTGGTCGCACGTTTTCGTTCACCAATATCCGGCGCTGTGACAGCTGCAATTCAAATCACCACCGTTAAACGACTCGGGGCGCGTGTAGACGGAACGACGATCGCGTAACCGAGGCCACGGCGCGCGAGGAAATTGGGAAACCGACAGCCATTGTACGTCTTTCGAGCCAAGGAAATTTACTTTTCCTGACTCGGCGACGTATCGCGCCCGGAAATAGATCCCCCGCCACCCTTTATCCACACTTTACCAGGTGCTATCCCCGAGAGTACGAGAATATTTGATCCCATCGCGTTTACGAGTAGATTCGGCGAGTATCGATTTATTTTTCGGATGCACGCCAGTTATATCGGTTACAAATATCGTGAATTTGCAGAAAAGTAGTGTACGTCGAAGAATGTAATTGAAATTGTGTTAGAATTTAAGGGTTGAATGAATTTTTTCTTTAGAGATTTTGCAATTCCCCGAGGAGAATTTAAAATTAAGCGAGTACTAAACTGTGGATGCTTATACATTTATGGTAAGTGAAACTGAGGGAGAATGTATGAGGATGCGCATTAATGCGAGAATATATATAGAATACGTGTTACACATTTTAGAAGATGATACATATTTTCATTTAAATATCAATTCTTTATCTGATTCTGTAAAACTGCGAGTTTACATGAACATCTGCAGTCTAGTGATTACGAGTCAGGGTTGATTAGAGTCGTGAGTGACGTAATTTGTTAGTATATATGCATGAAAGTAACGTAAAGTGCCGAGGAAAATAATATCTACGACTTCGGGATTCTGTGCCATCGCTCAAGTGGATCGCGACAGCGCCGTAGCTAGACCAAGCGGTGGATCTAAGTAGATTACCCCTGTAATTGGTCAGACGCGAACGGACTGTAAGAAATAAAAGCTTCTAGACAATTCAGCAAATCGTATCAATTAATAACTATTAAATATATCTTCTTAAAGTTATATTATGCATATCCAAATCTATTCAGGCTGCGTTTTGGTGTTGAATTAGATTTATATTCCGTGAGCAATCTTTTATAGAATTCCGAGCTTCGAAATTGGCGAAATAATTATCCGTGCAATTGAGGAATATACAGTCGCGAGAATTAATTCAAGACAATTGAATCACGGGGAAAACCGTCAGTTACTTTCACGGGTCGAAAGTTTCCGCTCTGGTGCCACGGGAATCACTTTGCCAGTGGATTACCGGTAATCCTCGAATCATCAATTTCCTCCGCGAAAGAGCGGGAAGAGCGATCGTCACGTGGGGAAAATCTTTATCTCTCAGCCGGTTCGCGCTTTAATCGTCGTTAAATCCAACCCCGATCATCTCCCCTTCCATCGACATTTATTCAGCTCTGGAATGTATTCGTACCATGAATACCTTGAATTAAAATTGATCATTTCGAACTCAAATACGTTTATCCAGAAATTTTGATGAAACGATTTAGACATATTCTCTAGAATATAGGTTTTACGTAAATTTTAATTGTTTCTTCACATTAAACTGTTTGAACAAAAAACCTTTCATCATTACGACATCATGGGCTTATTTTTTGTAAATATTCTTCTATAAATATTCTGTCAAAACATTTATATTATACACTTTGATGTAATTAAATATTACTAAATACATATCCAAAATAGAATTTAGCAAAAAAAAAAAAAAAATAATTCTATAATAATAATTTCTCCATTAATTATTATTTTTCAGGAGTGATAAGTGGCCACATATCTGTGGTTGTGTATGACGTAAAATTTATCTATGATTCCCCAACTATGTTTCTTGCAAATTCATTTTCCCAAAAAAAAAGAAAACAAATGATCACGAGTCACTACATTGAATATATGCAGATAGATTCCAAAAACTGTGAAATATGTCTTTCCAGATAAACATCGAGTACGAATACTTTCCCCGCCCGCCGTATATATTTTTAATCGCGTTTTCTCAGCTCGGGGCGCGTATCGGCACGGATTCCTAATTTAAATCGCCGCGGCAGTATCGATTCCGTCTCTCGCGATCTTCGGAAAAAGGCGCCGCGACGGACGTCGTCGAAAGGGCTACGCGACGGTGGTGGGGAGAGGTTCGCGGTATCGTCAGAGGGGAGAGGGGTGGGTTGAATGGATCGTCGCGGCGGAAAAAGCGGAAAATGGAGAAGCTGGGTGTCGCGACGGTTGATGAGGACCTTTTCTCCGTCGCCACGACGCCGGCGGTCGCGCAGAGCGCGGAAAAACTGTTGCGAGAACGAAGCGAGTAATTGGACACCGGCTGGCCATATTAGAGCACGGAGAGACAGACGGAGACAGCGGAGAACCCGACGGACGGGGCGCAGAGAAACGCGGAGAAGGAGTGGAACAAGAGAGAAATAGATGGGAAATGGGAGACGTAGAGAGAGAGAGAGAGAGCGAGTGAAAGGGGGAGCGAGATAGAGAGGGAACGAGGAGGAGTAGGGAGAGACGAGAGACACAGAAGCGGGAAAGAAGAAAGGCCTGCTATCGGGGGAAGAAACAGTGAAGAAGCGCGGGGTGGCTAGCTCGGCGTATCGGAGGAGAGAGACGAGAAGAAAAAGAATTAGCGCACCTTTTGCCCTGAATGAGTCGCAATTAAAAGGGGTTGGAAATCGAGTTGAATTGCGAACGTTTACTCTGCTTCTACGGTGGCTAGGGTAAGAACTGAGATCTTTGCATGCACTCCGGTGGAGCAGCTATTGGCGACGTTATGTCGTTGATCAAATTATTAGATCAGATTTAATTTATCAAAACAATTGTTCGAGAGATATTATGAGAGGTATCTGGATCAGAGTGAGTTTTCTGGTTTAAGGTGGTGTCTAGAATACTTTGAAATTAATTATAGATACAGTTACACGCAATATAGAATATACTGTGATAATTTCAATGAGTGGAATAATGTCAATGTTGTAATCGTTCAATCCAATTCTTCACTTCTCTTTTTTTATCCACATGTCTCTAATTGAAAATTGCATGGACGAAAATGAATCACGACTGTTTTATCATCGAACTGAAAATTTTCGCTCAGTATGATCGCAAGGGTTGAATTGGAATTAGAAATAATTTTTGAAAGTAGAATTTGTAGCTGATATTATATTGTTAAAATAAAGGACACGTTTCTTTAGTACTAAGTACTATTGAATAAGATACGTTATATCATCAAGTACGAATTTTAATAATTTTCTATCGGACGTTACAACCTTATCGATTAACTGTATGATATGTTTTATTTGCCTAATAAGATCGTTCGTTCGTTTGCTATGTAACGTTACGTTTTTGGTAATGGGATCAATTCAATTTACTATGCAACTTCTTCCATCCTAAATGCAATATTTATTCTACGTTTCGATCCAACGTCAAGTCTCTTTGAAGAGTAATCAATTACATACACCGTGTTCATACTGTAATGCACTAGAAAATTAAATAGAAGTTAGTAATAAATATATGAAAGGAAAAAGAAAGAGAAAAATGGGTTTTAAATTGGCATAATCGTGTAATGAATAGTTTCATTCTCAATCTGATCGACGACTGCACATAATATACTCAACTCGATGAGTTTCACTTATGCAAATACGAATGGAATTATTGAAAGAAATGAATAAAATTAAAAGTATCGAATATTTACAAATTTTGTTCTAAAAAGGACACTTACAATTCCCAAGAATGGTACCACAAAGTTGTTCTGTAGTTAATATTCACACACGTTAACAAATATTTTGAAGCCTGAAAGGCTAGAAAATGTTTATTCAAGCCCCTAATTGGTGATTAACATCAGTGACCGCTTGTTTCACGTCACACTACCTTGCTAGAGTACTACATATACTTATTTTTGCAAATCACCCCGTTCTGTATATATAATTTTCAGATCAAAATTGAGACTTTCTACAAAAGTAAACTTAACTTTTTCTTTCTCGATCCCTTTTTGGAATAACTGGTATATAAATACAGATACTTTTGCCTCCTTTTCCGTCGAAAAATCGTGGGTGGTTCGTTGCTTGAGACAAACTGCGAGTCGAGAGAGAAACGTACGACGATCGCGACGGAAAAAGTGTCGGTCGAGTGTCTGAAATCCGCGGCAAAAAGTCTGGAAACGATTCTTTCTCGGTGATTTGAGGAGTCTCTCGAGGTCCTGGCCAACCTCAAAGTTTTTACTCCGAGGACGCCGGTACCAGCGTCTGCACGAGCGGACTTTTAACGAAATACAACCGTATATAGCGCGGTGAAATAAAAGGTGATCGTCGCCGAGCCGCCTCCGGGAACTCGGGATAGATTCCGCGGAAACGATAAACAGAGACGAGAGCGTTGCAACGGTTTAAATCGCCTTCGCTTCTCGAGATGCCCGAAAGTTCGAGGGCTTCCTGAACACCTCGGGTGCGAGGAGACCTAGACGTTCGCAGACGCAACGAAAATCCCCGAGATTCCTAAAGCTTTTCAGCGAGATTCTCCCGCGGGATTTGTCAAAGAGATCTGGCGAACGGCGAGACGCAGTGGCGTAACCGAGAATTAAGGAGGTACGCTGTTATTTTGGATAAAAAAAATTAATTATTTTTATTAATGCTGCTGTTACTTGGGATTTTTTAAATATTTTTGTCGAATTATATTCAACGAAATTCTAAATTGTCAAAGTTACGACCATTTGTATCACAGGTCGTTCTATTAGGCTGATTGGAGACGAAATTTTGAGTAGGTATTCTTTTATTTCGGATCAAAGATGGATGAATTTTTATATTCTTGTTGGTTGAGGTTTTTAAAATGTTCCGATTAAATGGAAATATTAATATAAATATTCCAAATTGCCAAGGTTGTATCCCATTAAGCTGATCGAGCACGATACACGAACATTACTTTATTTGTCACCTTTCGTGGTCGTCTAGTATACTCTTCGTGGTCTCCTAAGTTTGAAGAAGAGGACTTGAAGCGTGGTCGAAACATAGTATGTGTATATTCAGAAAAAGAATACCTATGATTTTTACACGTCATTTAGAAAGGGAAAGCAGCTCTCCAATGAAAAGAAATTAACTATAAATTTCGCCCAGAAATGGACAACATTTTATATGAATGCTACGTAACGAACAAGATTAACACATCTATTTATCCCTGACGTTTACTCGATTCAACAACTCTAGTTCAACAGCTCCAGCTACCTATTTCCTATTCAACAAATAATGAATGAACAGTCATGTATCGTTTACTTACAATTTGTACTTAAACACGAATTTTGCCTGTCCCTCTATTTTAGATTCAACAAAATTGTAAAATTAATCAGATCTCAGCATTGCCTATTCGATCTCGACGACTACCACCATCGAAGAACAGAGTAACGATCCATACAGCGATGTAACACTAAACCCACCGACGTTCGTTTGTAACTATTTCTATCGTGATGGAACGACTGGTATTAAAAATACATGTATCAATGAAATGCAAAAATATTTTACGTAGAACTAAATTGAATAATCCATGAAACAATTGCATGTAATTCATATATGGCGTACAAGAACCATATACAAAAATTCGAAAACGGTCATTCGACCGGTCGTGGTAAGTTTAGCGTTAAATCGAACCATCTTTGAGTCTATCAGGCTTGTCTCAAAATCGTTAGTTACGCCACTGGCAGAACCATCGTCGGCGGTGCACCGTTGCATCTCCCATGGCCGGCTTCCACGCTAATGGCGGTGCAGCGAACGTGCCTGCGCGAGAGCTGGGCGAGCGTGTGTGTGCATCGCCGGCGCTGCTACCGTTTTAGTAACCGAGCGCACCGGTGCGCACCGGTGTGCATTATCTAACACTTAAAATTAGACGGGCGATGGCGACGGCGAAAAGAGATCCGCTCTCGCGCGTTCGAGCCTCCCGTCTCCCATGGATTCGAACCACAATGCCAGTAATGGCTTTCTATATTTATAGATAATCCATTGCACGCATATTAAACGCGATAACTTTTCGACGAGCTCGACAATAGCGTCCAGGTCACCGTCAAATCTCTGCCTAAAACACGGAGGTTCTCGGACGTGGTCTAAAAAGAGGGTGTCGAAGAGACTATTGGATGATGATTGAATTTTTAGGCGTTTTGGTCAAATTTTGTGGTAAAACACAAACACACTCGAAGATACTCGAAGATACTCCAAAAAGGGACCGATATGGAAGAGACTGGCTAATTTTTTAGGAAATTTGTTCAAATCCCAGAGTAAAACACGAACGTATTTCCTAAAAAGAGAGCAATATAGAAGAAACGATTGGATGATCATTAATTTTATACGTACAGTCAATCCCATAAATATGCGTACCCTTTATGTCTATTGACGAAGTTTGACTAAATTAAACAATAGTTTTGATATTTCAAAATGAATATTTCATTATAAATATGCATAAGAATAACAGATGTATATATTTATATGTACATCAACAGATTTATACAAACATACACTTTGAAACATCAAACCTACCATTTAATTTAAACAGATTTCTTAAATAGACAGGGTACGAATATTTATGGGACTGATTGTATTTCTTTCAAATCCCGTAGTAAAATATGAACGTACTCCCCAAAAAGAGAACAATATCATCGTGACTATTGGATGATTATTAACATTTGTTGGAAGTCTGAGCCTCCCAACATCTACCCTCTAGCCTAATATAAGAAGTGAGTCGAAAACGTCTCATATATCCACTTGCACATACTAACCAATTGCTAACTATTTTCTCTCCTCCTGGCCCTAAATATATCCCTCCAGTATTTTATTACACTACTCTAGTGCAAACAGATACGACACCTTTTAAACTCCTATAGCTGGGTCCTCCTCAACATATTCCGAGGTCATCTAAAAAATATTCGGTACTGTTAACACTGATAACTGACGATGACCCGTGCACTCTTGTCAAGGAAGATCGAAAGACCACCACCATCGATATACCTAAAAGGTGGAAAGTCAATGGTACTGTCGCGCTGCTTATGCATTCTTATCATTCACTATAACCGCGTCAACGATCCCCATGGACTCCGGTATCCGTTCCACTGCACCGCGTACAGCGGAAACGTGGTCGCGATCCTCGCGAACGATCACTTGCACTGATAGATCACGTGATTATACTCTCTTCCCGTATCTTCTCGTCTCCCTTTCCCTTTTCCTTTTCCCTTTTAACCCCCCTGGCAGGTGGACGGGATGAAGAGGAGAAGAGGGGGGGGGGGGTTGGGCGGCGGCTCCGCTAATCAACAGAGACAGGCACTTCGCGGAAACTAGGACACCAGAGCGGAGGCCGAACGACGCGCGAACGATAATTTTCTTCCGCGGCACTTTCCCGTTTACGGTTTACTTTTGTTTCGTGTACGTGTGCGATTTCTCCCGCGAGCCTCCCGTCGCCGTGGCCCTCGACGACACGAACACCGACGTTATCGCAAAACGTAAGGTGCGACGCGCTGCCGATTACGAGAGCTCAACGAAACGCACCGCGTTCGTCCGGGCCGGCTGGCCGCCCGTCTCAGAGTGAATGTCTTATTAGTTATTTCTGGCCAAGCTACTTCGTCGCTCTCTGCCTCCTACTTCGTCTTTTCTTGATCCTCTGCCCGAGCTTCCGCCCCGCGGCGGTTCGCACCGTCCCCGTCGCTCGTCTTCTTCCCCCTGTTCCCTCGCGCGAAAAAGCTACGCGACGACGACACCCTGACGCCAACGGCGAAAGTCATCCTTCGGCCGGCACTGTCCGAGGACTTTTTCGCGTCTCCACACCGTCCTTGAACTTACCCCAGCGACCAGTTCGTTTTCACGGCGTCTTTCGGAATTCGCGCGACGACGCCCGCTGGTAAAAGTGGACCGGACGCGACGGGACCCGAGGACGAATTCGGATCGTCGATCTAGAACGGGACAACGCGGGGATCTATGCGATGCGTTTGCGTTCGAAGTTAGAAGTCGAAGAGGTATAGCCGATGGATACTGAAAAACGGTATTCTCGAAGGAAGAGGTAGAGTCGATACTTTAACTGGAATAAAATTAAACAGAATCAAAGGGAAGAGCTTCTACTGCGAATTATTTGTAAGGCTGATTCTTCTTCTTTTAGTGGGCCTAATGTCCTCGCAGCTTTGTTTTCAAGTATAGCTTTATCTCATAATTCAATCGGAGCCTTGGAACATGGTCAAATAATTGAAAAGAAACAAAAATCCTATGCGTTACGCTACGTGTAACGGGCTGAAGGAGAATGAGATAATATTCTGGATTGCATATTTTCACTACCACAGTCTAATAACTTATAAAAAATGAATCCATCGAGGTTCAATATGTTGACTTTTACGTGACGTTTAGTTCGTTTTATATTGCCAGTTTTGTTTCTTATAATTATTAACAACTAAGTTACAATCCATCGAGCGACGTACAGCGCGTGTTTGTAAACAATCTCTGGATATCTTTTAAGAAATAATCAACAGAATACTTTTAAGGGAAATTTTATGATATCAATTACAAAATTGTTGAAACTAGTTGCTTCCCTGTCGTATGCATAGCTGTAACGATACGCGGAGCGTGTCTGATCATTATCTCATTCTACTTCAGCCCATTGCACGGGCCGTAACGCATGGGATTTCTGTTTCTTTTTAATTATTTAACCATGATCCAGGAGTTCGACCCTTCTGAAACTTTTACATGTGTCAGCTAAATAACCGATAATCATTTTTGGTAGGTATCACTCACAGGGTTGTTTGTAATTATTTATTTTCTACCCTTAATAATTAAAAAAATACCCTGAAAAAATATATGAGATGCAGTTTATAAGTACGAATACTTTCACCCTTTCTCTCTATGATCCTCTTCCACTTTTCCGTCGTATATACCGTCGCTATGAAATTTCTGTAGTTTCTTTTTTCATTAAATATATGCCGAATAGTAACCGGATCGGAGTACCTATCATTGATTTTTAACAAAAGCGATTCGCCAAATTGATAGCTGAAACTCCGTCAAACTGCGTTGCCACGAAAGCTCATGGATTTGCCGATGGAGTGTTTCATGATCGACGATATCCAAGCCCTTTTGAAATTCGATGTTGCGTTGACTTGTCACCTGTGATCAATTGGATCGCAAATGCAGCGACGATAGGTTGCGAAATTCGTCTAGAGCGATACCGTGCTGTTTGTTGATCGTGATATGAACATTTGCAGGGAAGCGTTTTGGTATCAAAAGACGAGTCCTTGTGTGCAACGAGAACCCTCGGTTCGTAACGTTAGGTAAACTAACTTGGCTATGATTTTTGGTTGAAATAATTTTCTATCAAAAATATAACTATTTATATAAAATATTTAAATATAAACTTGCTTATCGAGGACGAAAACTGTCATTCGCTTCTAATATGTCCGCTGATCAAAATTTGAACAATCGCTGTGGCTCGGAGAATTCAAATCAAACATTCTATAATTAGTTTGTGAGAGCATAGACGTACCGTTGTCCGACAACCAATTTCACTGCGCGAGAAAATTGCCACGTCGAGACCTTTCTCCTTAACCGACCAGCAAACAAAAGTTTGTGAATTTTAGAGGAATAAAAAATTAAGAACCTCTGGCTTAGCGGATCTACCGCGACGCGATAGCTGAGAAACCCCAGAGACACTGTGTTGGGTGTTTAGCAGTAAATTGCTGGAAGAGCATTCCGTGGCGCGAGCGAGTGCCACCTAAATTCAGAGTGGAACGTATCTTTTCAGTTGGAAGACAAAAACCAGTACACAGAAGATAGGCAAACGTTTCGTGCGGTTTCACACCCAGCACGAGGTGTACGATCTTCGTCGTGTGGATAGGATTTTTGGCAAGGAAACTTTAGAAACGACTTCATAAATTCCCCAAAGAGATGCTAACGCGTTTCTTGCTTCCAGACCGTTAGAAGATATAACATACTTTCACCGAAGTCTCAACCCTTTTTCTATTTCTGTGAAAATATTAATTTGCATAAACATCCGGAGGCTAGTCGTGAAATTTGCTCGTGTAACTTTCTCATGGAACTCAGCATCTGGTTGCACAAGATATTTAAAGTTATACAATCTACTTCAGAACTGGAATTATCCTACCTGTTTCACGCGTAGTTAGCGTAGTTAGTATCCGTGTCGCGGATCCTAGCACTTTCTATGAAACGATCCTCTCGTTGCTCCTATCTCAAGACGAACAGGATCAAAATTGCCTAACGACAGGTGGAAACGAGCGTAGATAATCGACAGGTTGGCTCATCCGCGACAACATTTTTTTCCTCCACGGACGTTTCATTAGTCGAGGTGGATCAGCGACAAGGGTTTTTCCCCGCTGTCGAAAGTTCGATCGTGCTCGATTCGCTGATTGCCTACGAGGTTCGTTTAAGTCGGATCGACTGGTCCGAAAGCAGCCCGCTCGAGTTCCCGCGATACTGTGGGCGCAGTCGATTAGCTGGAAAACATCGAGGGCTCTTTTTTCGTTCGTCTCGGTAACGAACAGAGGTTCGCGCCAATTGGAATAACGAAGAGGGATGTTCCTCAGGGAACGTTTAAATTGACTCAAACTTGACAGTGCTGATATTTTCGATCGTAAATGGTCTTAACACCACAAAAGGGACCCTACAAAAATTCAAACAAATTAGAGAAAAATAAGAAAAGACTCATTAATGATCTTAACGAAAGAGTATAAATACTAGAACGTTCTCTAATTAAGAGCGAGGGACTTTAGGATTTTAGTCATGAGGTATCGTGAATTCTAAATTCAAGAATTGAACGTGGTGTCTAAATTCGAGAATTCAAAAGGTTAAATTAATCGTCGTAACCTTTGCATTCCGAATTCATTAACACCGAGACGTTCGCAGGATTGTTTCCCTCGTCATAAATCGACGCGAATGCGCACGAAACTTCGCTATCGAGGATTCGCCAAAGTAATAACGACGAACTGGAAAAAGTTTCCGCTCGATTAGAGTCCTCGAGATTCATCGTCTCCTCCGAGATAAGCCGGTGACCGAGACTTTTAATATTCCCTTTGTTCGCCGTCCCGCGGACCATTTAATGGGAAAAAAGTTTTTTGTATTAACAATACCCCGTGTTTTTCTGGGATTTTTATTTCTCCTGTAATCGATACCCTTCTAAATCGATGCGAGACGCAAACGCTGACGTTTCTGTCCGACGAGTGGGACACCGGAGACGATAGAGGATCGCTAAAGTGTGTAATCCGTTGCCTATCAGGAAAGAAAGGGCTTAAAGATGACAAAGTGGCCAGCGCCGTGGGTTGCGACTTACAGGCAGCACTAACTCGACTCTTATATCCCTGTCTGCGGCTTCCTGTCTTTTCAAAACTCGCTGGTTATAAATGACAGAGTATCACGGAGTTCCCTTAAAGGCGTCCTTTGCGTGCCTCGCGGAAAAATTAAATTTTAAATAATGTATGCCGGGAGTCATTCCAAGTAAAATCGATCGATTTTTGCAGTCTAGGTCAAGGATTTTGGTGGAATTGAAATGTGCTGAATTTGGGGTGGTTTGTAACTACCCTTGGCCCTTATCAAAGCATGAAAATCTTGAAGAGTTTGTAACATGAATACTATGCAACGTAGAAAATGCAAATTTAAATACGTACTATGCACATTTTTCATTTATTTATTCGTGGGTTAGGATTCAAAAAAAAAATTCTATAACGAACAAATTTGTTTACAATAGGAAAGGTAACGAATTATAAGTAATAGTAGTAATAGTAACTGCAGAGTTACACATTATTATTGAATATCAGAACTCGAGATAGACAACCCTTGAAGATCCTATGTTAATAAAAAAAGTTAATCTGTATGCTGAGTTTATTTACATATTTTGAAGTATACCTTCTAAATATTTTGAAATAGGAGTTTCCTTATCATTCTTTTTAAGGCACAAATATAACTATTTAGCTTTTAAAAAAAATGTGGTTCGAGAAGACAATCTTTCCCCACGAAACCAGAAATAACAGGATTTCGGTGTGATCGATGTTCTCGAAGTTAAAAATTCATTTATGCAACTAGATTTTACGTCAAATATAATATAAATCACGAATTCGGAGGTACCGTATTTTCCAAACAAATTCAAAACCGGTAAAATGATGATTTGAACTACCCTCAATTTTACGTGGACCGCGTCACATTTCAATTTTGCCAAAATCCGTGACACCGAGCGCAAAATTTGATCGATTTGGCGTGGAATGGCCCGTAGATAACTCGCGCTCGACGTGATCGAAACTATCGGTGCGACGGCACTGGCTGTCTGTGACAACGAGTGAGTTAATTAATGAGACGTCGTTTATACTTCCACACGAAATGAAAAAAGGGTCTGGATAATGCGTTCCCGTTAATTACGAAATATTCGTCGGAACCAATTCGCAATAAACATCAATATTTACGGCTTTATCGAAATGGACATCTCTGTTTTTTATACTATTGTAGGAGTCTAAACGAAAAATAAGGCACGGGGATTCGAAACCACGATCCTCGGATCCACAATCGACCGCTTTACCTAACGAGAACAATCCCGTACCCTACGTTTCGTGTTCTTATT